TCTTTCTTGTTTTTTTTAAATTGTGGAGAAAAGAGTTCCCCCCCCCCCCCCCCCCCCGCTCCCCGAAACTCCCTATTTCATTTGTGGCACAGTTAGTCTGATGCTTCATTCTTGGGAAACATTACCTCACAGTTCTCTAAAATGTTCACTTGCTTGTTTTATCTACCTTCTAGTTGCACGTCATTGAATCATTGTAGGCAGTGACTGGCAGTCTGGGCACCTCTTTAGTACTGCTGGGCTGTTAGTGGAAGCACAGCTCTCTTGTGAAGTACCATTAATATTGCTTCTGACTTGATGTATTTCTTCAGCAGTGTTTGTGACAAAGGAAAACTACCCATCTTTTTTTCCAAGAGCAGCTGCACTGATTTTTTTCTTAAGTGGGAACTATATAGAGATTTATTATAACATGTATAGAGTGCAATATTTATGGTGATGATTTAAAACATTATAACCTAGAATTTTAATGAGGTGCTGTCTAGTGGAATGGCAGTATTGCATGAGCCTGGCTGCCATTACACAACAATCCATGGCTGAAGAGCTGAGTTGCAAACTATTTGATATGCCCACTGCAGATTTTACAGTAAAACAACCATCACCTGTGCCCATGTAGGGGGAGAAAGAGGGATCTGAGGAGCAAAGCTGGCCAAAAAGAGGAAAACAAAACCTGTTTCATAAAGTATATTTGTATATTAGAGTTAGTGTTTTACCCCCTACTCTTCCTATTTTCTTTTATTACTTCTGTTTATTATTTTTCTAATAGAAGAACATATTCTTCAGGAAAAAATATGATGTTGCTGCTGCAATAGCAATAAGCAGTAAAAGGCAATACAGTAGCAGAGCTGGCTGAGTTTTGGGGCCACATGGATTGCCTGAAACACACCCTGTCATGACTTATTGTTGTGTAACTGGCCTCTGAATCTGTTAGAAAGTAGAAATGTATACATCCTATATGGCTACAGCATAAGCTCTCTTACAGCAAGTAGTATTTTGCAGCAGTGGGCTAACATAGTTCTTGACATGGGTATTGTTGACCTCCTAGGAAGGTCAGCAATATAAAATGACTTTTATATAAACAAATTCAGCCAGGCACAGACAGGATTTTATTTTAATAGCTTATGTAACAGGACTTAGAATAAGTAAGAGATCATAATCAAAATGTTCTTTTTCTTTAGATTCAGTGGAGTCATACAAAATATTAAATTGCCAAGTTAAATTGAATTATGAAAATAGGAAAAATAACATGGACTCTTTTTTCATTCAAAGGAAAACTTATCCATTCTATGGTAGCCCACCTAGATGCAGTCACAAGTTTAGCTGTTGATCCAAATGGCTTGTATTTGATGTCTGGCAGTAAGTATCTCACATGTCAATTTCTTCCTTTTATCATGATAGCTTTGATGTTCAGTTCAATTACAAAAAAAAATTTCCCCCTCTCTGTAGGTCATGACTGTTCTATTCGCTTATGGAATCTCGAAAGCAAGACCTGCATTCAAGAATTTACTGCTCATCGTAAAAAATTTGATGAGTCCATTCATGATGTGGCATTCCACCCATCCAAATGTTATATTGCCAGTGCAGGAGCTGATGCCCTAGCTAAGGTCTTTGTATGACATAGTGCTTATCCTCCAGCGCTAGCTTGTATATATCTAACCAGCTGCACAATAGAGAAGAAAGGGGGCAAAAATGCCCTACAATTCAGAGAATGTTTGTAATGGTCTAGTTTCTGCAGGGTGCTCTTTTTTTCTAAATTAAGGTATGTTCCAGTTTCTGAGAGCTCAGCTGGTGCTTTGAGCTTGGAAACTCTCTGTTTCAAATACTCCACAAAAGAACGCTTTTATTTCTGAGGGTGTGAATATTTTCATCCAGGCAGGTCTTGGGTGAAACTCAGTCTATATATTCTCTGTTAATACCGTAGGTTACTGTGGAGGGATGGGCAAGTAAGTAGTAATAGTCTGATAGCTGCACAGAGTAGAAGTGGGGCGGGGGGGGCAGAGGGAGGCAAGGGAGGAAGGAAATCCCAGTGTAGTTCTCATTGAGGTCTATACCACATAATGCATCTTGAAAAAATGACCTTTCAGGTTCCCTTTGAAGTACCACAAGAACTTCACTTGTTCATCCCTTCAGCATTAGAGACTAGGTAAAGTTTAGAGAGAATAGCAGATAATTAATCTCAGCCACTGGGCTGCTAGCATAAGGTAAATCTGGTTTAAAAGAAAATTACTAACTTTTAAAAATATTAATGCAGTAATGTTTTGTTAAATCTATTGTTATACATACAGTGGATATTTAGTTTGCAGAAAATTTATACAATTTATTTTTTGAAAGAAAGTGTTAGCAAGTGGCTAGAAGCTTAGCCCTTAGACTAGTCGCGTTTAATGAGACAGACTAAAACAGTCTGTATATACTGTAATAGTGAATTAACTTATTCAGATTTATAATACTACTTGTTGTTGGAGGTCAGGCACAAGAAATATTCTCATTTTGTTGGGGTTTTTTGCCCATGTTTCAAATCCTTGGTCCCTTTTTTGTTCCTTGTCATGTGCAAGAAATAACAACCTCCCCTAGCAATCTCTAGTACAGTTTAATAAATAAGCGTTTATCATTTCCCTTCCTGATAACTTGCCACTCTGGGCATTTAAGTATGACTGAAATTTATTACTTCATCTTAAGGATAAAGCATTATATGTAGTGTTCCGCCTGAGCCTGTCTTGTAGGTTAATACAATGGGGTGCCCTTACCAAGTACTTGCCTTTTTGAAAGATTCTACTATTTCTAGAAGTACTCCCTAACTTGGAAACCTGTGGAGTTTTTTTTAACATGCCCACTGTACTGGTCATGTTGTGCCAGTGATCTTTAAAGTATGATTATTGAATGAAAAAATGATTCCATATAAAAGGGCACCTTTTATACTCAACAGATTTTCTCCCTAGATGTATCCAGAGCTTCCTGTAGACTTGAGTGACAGAAGTAAATTTTTTTAACCAGTTTTACCGTTTATTCCTTCAAAGTCTCAGAGCTGAGAGAGCCAAGTGGGTTCTGTTCTACTGAGCATCATCAGTGAGATTTCTTGTTACTAGTCTATCAATTCTGTGAAGGCAGGCATAGCCCTCAAGTGGCACAGAAGGCAAAATGTGTGCTGTATATTCTGTATTGCTGGTGTTGATACAAGAAAAAAAAGAACCCTTAAATTGAAGGTTGAATTTGTAAGACTGGAAGTTAGTTAATAAATCTTTCATCTTTTAAACTGACACAATTAAAATAGGAATCATTGAAAGAGACAAAGAAACTATTCCATTTTTAGAGAGACTTTTCAACGTGAAACCACAGTCTGCCCAAGTCCCAGAATTTAGATTAACCTCATTGCTTTATGTAGGGTTGACGTAGGCTATTTGGGTTTGCAGGATATTATATTTTATTGCAAAAATACCTGGGGATACCTTTCACTTCTCAGAATACTCAGACATTTGTTTGTGACAGTGTTGTACAATATTTCCATTAAATAAATTTAGAATTTTTAGCACTAAACAGATGACAATGACAATGGTAACTCAGATAATTTAGTTTTTATAATATGTTTTGATTATGGTGAAAAGGGGAAAAGCTGGCTGAAAACTGAGCATTCAATTTTGTGAAAATTCTTCTGTGTACTTGACTCTTGTTTTTTTGTGTCATTATTTTATTTCTTTTTGAAAAGAAAATTACAAAAATTTATTTGAAAAATTCTAAAAGTTATGTATATTATATATGTGTATATATATATTGTAAACATGTATTAAATGTGTCTAGTAAGAGAAGACTACTTTGGATGCATTTTAATGTTTTAGTATTAAGAGTTCTCTTGAGTTTGTGTATAAAAAGGATAATGGTATGACTACGAAATGAATGTTGTGCTGTTTGCTTACACAATATAATATGTAGTTAAAGTTGTTTAAAATGCTGTACATAATTGGCCAGCATGCTTGTTTTTAAAGACTGTTGTTCTGATTACAATTGGAATGTAAGAAATGGCTGTTAAAATGTGAATTGAAAGATGTTCCATTCTCACTATTGAGCTGTTGCTCAAACTGAAATGAATCTTGAAAAGCTGGCAATAGCTAGAGGATGAGGTGCCTTTTAAAAAAACAAAACAAAAAAAAAACAAATGTAGCCTTACAAAGAGGTTGTGAAGTATATATTTTTGTGCTGGTCTAACTGATGTCAGTGTCTCTTTGCTGTACTTGCTCAAGTACTTGTAGACTTGCAGGGTACTGTGCATGAGCCTGTCAGCTCTTCTGAACACCATCGTAGAAGTTAAGGATGGAAAAGATTTCTTGGGTTTAGTCATCTGCTTACCAAAGTGGGGTTATAACCGTGTGTGTTTTTAGTAATGTTTTGACCAGTGAGGTTTTACATATGTCCTGCATTATTAGGCTTTTATGAATTCCCTTGGAAGGTTCCCAGTGCTCAAAACAGCAGATACCCATAGACTCTTAAGATATTGCTTCCTTAGTTGTCTTTTAGCCAAGCTACGATAGCTTTTTCCTTCTTCTGTCACATGCAAAATCTCTCCAGCGTTTGATCATTTTTATAATTCTTGATGCTGTTTCAGGTGGGAGGAGGGAAGGAAGGGATGTTGCATAATTTTGTGTCCGGCCATGACCATAGCATTCCAGGTGTGAGAGCTAGAGCCAGTACCGGAAGAGGATCTGTTAACTTTCCTTTTTTCTTTGTGGTTCTTTTGCTTAGGCAGATTAAAACAGTTGGCCTTCTTGCCAATGTAGCCAGTCTGATTTACCACTTGCTGTCTACGTTCAGCGTTGCTGCCTCCTAGGTTTCTTTTTCTTTTTCCATGTATGTTTCACAGTTCCCCCCTCAATGGATCCACCTTCAGAGTTTTGATATCAATCTAACGTTGTTGTTTTTATTTTGATGCATGTTTATAGTCCTTCTGGGCCACTTAATATTTTTCTCTGTACCCTAATATGTGCAGCTTTTCTCAATTAAATACAGTTGATAAAATTAATGTTCTAGAAGATCTAATGTGAATATTGGACCCAAAACTTATCCTTGTGCTCAAAATTTGCATACAGGTTGTTATATTACTTTTTACCATTACTTTGTTTGATTCAAGTGGCACTTTTTTTTAAGGTTAATTCTTAGAAATTCCATGGATAATAATGTGTGCTACTGATTTTAGTAAAGTCCAATTGAAAAGAAAAAAATTTAGTTCTTTTACCAAGTGTAAATGATCCATTAGGTTTAAACGTTATCCTACTTCACTTCCAGTTTACAAGGGTAACTCATGTGCTTTTCTGTGTGTTTGATTTGCCTAAAAATCCTTTCTTTCACAAAATGTGATTGGACTCATTTGACATATACCCTGAATTTAAATATTGTGGAAAATCTTCCATTCACTTCTAAAGTACCAGAATCCATTTTATGTTTTGTGCCAGAGACAAACCTCTGTGACACACCAAGTAAAATCCTAAATAGTATTAAAAATATCTCTAGTCTTTTTATAGTAAAAAGCTGCCTTTGATTTTATTTTTAGATAAAAATGGGGAGTTTAATTTAATAAGAATACACATTAGGAAGAACTCTTCTAAATTTTAATTCCCCTTACTGTAGCTGTCCTTAGGGTACAGTGTGTGACAATATTTTAGTCACAAGAAAAGTATTCCCTAGCATAATATATTTGACTCTAAGCATGTAATGTTCAGTATTGAGCTTTGCAGTCAAACCATAAGCCTGATTTTCAGGGCTGTAAATTCCAAATAAATAGAAACTTGTCTTTTTCAATTAAAAAAAAAAAAAAAAAAAAGTAATTCCACACTACCTTTACTATTACCAGTGTATGGTCAGCATGTTTTTTCATACTTTTTCCACAATTCTCAGGAGTTTTTGCCACCGGGGAAAAAGCAGGAATTTAGTAGGAATCAGGAATTTGCATAAATTGTGTATTTATTATACAGTAATTATGTCATTTTTTGATAGGGATGCTGGATCACAGGTGAGTTTTAGCTCATCCCAAAGAAAAACAAAAAATTCCTAATTGGCATAAACATCATTTTGCACACTTCTTTTCATGCACTTTCAAAAAAGTGTTTTTGGAAATAATGCCAGTCAGTGCTTGGTGATGTGTTTTGGACGCCTGTTTGAAGGGTTTGCTGATACATTTTGTTTTGCCGCAACAAGTAAATCCCAGGACGTCAAATTTTCAAACTTCTTGTGGCCACTATTAGACTGGAAGATGGGGCATTGCTTAGGTGCCTAAATACAAATTTTTAGGGAGAGATTTGAAAATGGTCCCAGAATAGTGTGTGAATATTGACCCTAAATGAACATGGCAATGCCCTTGTTGGACTCTGATGTCCAAGGGTCAAGATTTGAACTGGACGCTAGTAAGCAATGTGGCATTATTGGAGAAGATGCTTTCTAAATGTACCTTTTTGTTTCAAGGCATATTGCTGATGGTCATTTGGGTTGACCCGACATAATTGACCAAATTATTCATTGGACTATGATAACAGAGAAGATTAGATCAAGAGGTGAAATTTTAGCATTGACTTGCATGTGTGTCACTTATTTCGGTTAGGTGGAATTATGAAGGCTTGAAGCCAATTCCAAATTTGACCTGAAGACACTGGAAACGATAGCTAGAAAGAACTTGTTAATGTTAGAACTTTATGAGATTCTCTGTGATTCAATTACCCATATTTTATGATGCTCCCTGCTTTAAATTCCAAAATTATCAAAGTAAAATTATATTTGTTCATATTTGAAACTATACCATTAAACAGAGGTAGCAAGAAATCTATGTATGTTTGTAATTTAAATTTTAAAAATAGAATTTGATATTTTTTTTCTATGTTGGAAAACCCAATGCTATGGTGGCTGACGCACCTTAGACACTTCAGCAGGACCGTTTATGCTTTCAGTCTAACGCATATAAAACTTTTCAGGATCAAATCAGGCCTTAAACTTTTGTTTTGTTAGAATTGGATCTTAATCTGAAGGAGGCAGTACAAGGCAGGCTTTCAGCCATCGTTCTGAATTTCCATTGTTTTCTGCATTTTTATCAAAATCTGTGTTACATAAAAGATTATGGTATTTTCCATTTATTTCCCATTCCATAAAAATATATGCAGAGTCAAACACGTAAGGCTAGCTTTAAAATATAGCTGGCCTTTTTCCTAGTGCAGCTCATGTGTAATATACAAATATTTTACTTGTTTTACTATGTTTCTATTTCATGAGATGTGAATGAGAATTCCAGGTAATTTCATTAATCAATGACAGACATTGTATATATTCCAGTTTTTTGATATGTGATGTGAAATTGTTCATTAAAATTATGAAAATAAGGAATTTATGGAAATAACTGTAAAAGCAGTCACCTATCTATAATGCAGCATTTAAAAATGCATTCTAAAACTTGGGGGTGCTAATTAGAAAATAAATTAGACCACAACTACCAAAAATGGAGAAATTGAATGATGAAATGAAAACGCCCACATGCATATACACTGTACCAACTATGGAAAGTATATGTGGCATGGCTAGTTCACTTTCTCAAACCTGTAGACATGGTAAACTTGAGAGTTTATAGCTCTTATAGCTCCCTGTGTTGATTTTCAGGGAATAGCTTTGTAATGAGACTTCTGAAAACCTGTTAATAGATTTAGTCTTGCAGAGGAGCACTATTAGTGATTAAAAAATCACCTGCAATCTCCTAGTCTTAACCCTTAACTAGTAAGCTAATATTCAGCGGGTGTGTCTACATATGTAATTTATTTGAAGCAATACACTCCAGAGCAGTTTGAGCTGGAGTAAATTACTCCTGGGCACAGCATCCACACGTGCACCCAGGACAGCTTCAATTTGAGCCAGGGCAGAGCAGGTTATGCCATGGCCACTTCTTCCCTGCTCTGCCCTGGGCTCTGAGTGGTGGCACTGGGGATGAAGGGGCTGGTTGAGGCATGAGGATGCTGAAAGTGTGGAGTCATGTGGCTTGGTGGCAGGGAGGAGTCTGCCGGCTGGGCTGACCAAGCACAGTTTACACCTATGGCCAGCATCTACACATGCATTTAATTGCAATTAATTACTCTGTCATAAGATAGTACTGTCCCCAACCATCCCCGACAGTACTATCTTATGGCAGTGTTAATTACTTTACTGCAGCCTAACTAACTGTGACATATGTAGACAGTGACATTTTACTCGGCAACTGATAAGTCTACTCTGCAGAAAAGCGCATGTGTAGATGCAGCCAGTGATATTGACTGATTGTGGAAAGGGAGCAAACAACATTTTACCATCAGGCTACATGTGGGAACTAGAAAAATAGTTGCTAGAGTAGAGCAACATTTTGAAGGGTGATCTTATGTGAAATAGATCAAAGAAGTGAAATTTAGGATGGTATAAGGGAAAAAACAGGACATGAGTCAGCTCTCTAGTCCTTGTGTAATAGTCCGTACTCAGACAGCTACTCCTGTTTCACCAGTGGGACTGTTCCTGTGAAATCAATCCCTCTGTTTGCCTACGATGACTTTCCCCTGTTAACTAACATATCTATTGTCCTGAGTATTCACCTTTCTGTATTCTTGGGTTAGCCTCTCCTCCCCTTTATAAAATACATGTTCATGGACCGATAACATCTCTTCAATGTCACATGTCCTGTTTTGAAGGTTGAATTGCGTTGGACAATAATGGCAGCCTGATTTTGTTTGGTCGGTCTGTCTGGAACTTATGAAATACTATACCATGTAAGACCTCACTTTGAGCATCTTATTTCAGTTGCAGTGATGCAAATGATGTAAATTGGGTTTATGTAGCTCATGATTAATATAGCTATTTGGTAGAAGAGATGTAGATCTCTAACTGAGCTAGTGTGTGTGTTTTGGTTTTAAAACTAGTTTGCCTTTGTCTCCACTGCCAAGCCATGTACTGCCCAGTAAGAACAGGGTAATGTGTGTGTTGTTTTTTTGTTTGTTTGTTTGTTTTTTAATATGTTCAGTGCCCTATGTTGACAAGGCCTAAAAGTCCTGTTTGCTTTCATTCAGTTTGAATCACAGGCTCCCAAAATTACTTGCACTCTGTTTTGAAAAGGCTGTGGTCCTAGCACCAAAGTATTAAGTTGGAAAGCTAAGAGGTACACTGCTGGATTTATACTTTTCTAGAACGGACAGGAGAATTTTTGCCAAACCAAATACCTTCATTACTTTCATGGATTACTTATGAAAAGCAGCCAAAAATATTGTATAAGTGATAACTGATGGACTTTTGGCTATCTTATCATTTTTTTTTCTTTATTGTAACTATGATTTAAATTATGGCAATTGAATGTAGCTTGTTTTCAGATTGACTCCCAGAATTGTTGTTTTGGGCATTTACTAGAAAAGCAAGCACATTTCAGAGGCCATCGCATTTGCGCTAATAGTCTGGGGCAACTTTCATTTGAAAATGCAAAATGAGCATGTTGGCAAATAATACCTTGTAGCTTTGGAGCCCAAGTAAACTGAAAAGGAGTCCTATATTATATTCAATGGCTTCCTTAAAACTGGCATCTAAGCAAGTTGTAGGAGATAGACGGCATAATATAGCCATTGTTCATGTGGTACCATATTTTTTATTAACCACTGGTGAAATCCAGACTGTTGTCAGCATATACAGCACCCACAATGCATTTTATGTAAGTACATTCACTTGACTTTGAGAGAGATTGTCAGATTAAAAAAACTTTGACATATATTTCTTTGCCTATGGAACTAATGATTCTCATAACTTAAAAAACAAGCAATTTTAAGAATGTTATTTGCTTGTAAATATGAATGTAGCAGCATCTTATTTTGATTCCTTTTTAGTTAAGTTCAAGACAAACACTTCCTCACAGTGCCCTTTTAGGTTATTGTTGGTAAACATAATATACAGGCCACCAAAACCACACTTTGTGATGAAATTTGGGTCACTTCCCCCAACAAATATATTAGAAATAAATGGGTACCTATCATCAAGAGTGACATGCTAACTCATCCCTGAAAACAAAGGGAATTTAGGTTGAGCTCACATGAATTTGTGTATTTTATGTTGTAACCAGTTTTGAATGACTACTTTTGAAAGTGTCCGACTTCAAGTGTTTTGCAAAGTAACGGCTCAGGTGGAAAATACCTGCTTACTGAGTAATATTGCCTGCTTGCCAGTTTGTGTCTGTGGTTCAGTATGAGATTGTTGTAAAAATTTTCTAAGCATAGTAATTTGATTGCGTTACATGCTACTGTTTCACAAAAGTTAATGTTATTTTAAGTCTCACATTCCTTTCTTTTCTTTTTAAATAAATGCAAAGGAACTATTTCTCCCAGGAACAAGACTGATGCAGATGTTTTAATTTCAGGAAGGTTCGTTTGTATTCATAAAGTTGGGTTGGGAAAGCTAATGACTCGTTTTAATCTTTAAACTGTTGAGAAGTTTTTTATCATGTAGTAAATTCGAAATCATTGTTAGAATGAAAGTATTCTATTATCAGGGTAAAAATTTAATATTTGTTTAGTAATTCAGTATTTATGAATATTAGATTTAGATGTATAAAACTGCAAAGTTAGAAAATTGGGCTAATGGTCATTTAAAGAAATGCTGATATTCTTTTGGGGCTCTTCTGAATTTTCCCCTTTTATGAATTGCAGTGAAACTGCTGTTTGTGGAACTTCTTGGGTAGATTGTATTTAAAGTCACATTCACTTGCCTGATAAGCCAAATAAATATTTTGTCATTAAAATTTATATAAAACTGCGTATATTAGTGTGTAATTTTAAAATGAGACAACACTGAGGTAACCATGCAGGTACTTACATTGCTCTGGCAGTAGTGAAGTGGAATCTCTGTATACTGTACCCACATTCTGTGCTGAGCAAAATCACTTGGACTTCCAGAATTAAACAGTGGTTTTTAAGAGCAGCTTTATTTAATGTTACAGCAGCAAGTAAATTTCATTTGTATCATATAATTATGTAAATTGGGTGCTAATAAATACTATTTTTCAACGTTTGGTACTGTGTCTATAATTCTGCTTTATTACTTTAAAAAAACATGCAGGTATGTTGTCGTCAATGAGCAAGACTGGAGGGCCACACTGGAAGAGCAAGTACATGTATAGGTTTAGTCTACAATGGCATGTGCTGCTTTAAAGGAAAATGGAGATTACATTTTCCTTTCCTGGCCAGCATATAATCAACCTTAATATTTATGCTTAATACTTTGTGTACATTCTTCCCTTGCTATGTGCTTTCTTACATATATTCCATCTTAATACCTGTGGCATCTTGCATTATACTGTGTAGTTTTTATTCACACTTTGCCCACTGTATTCAATGGAAATTACGCAAATATGCATTCAAGCACAGTAAGTTGCCTTTGTGGGACACATGCCATGGATGGTGGGCACATCTAAACGAGCATGAATGTGGCTTTTCTAATGCACATTAAATTTAGAACCTCAAATGTGAGATACTAAATTAATGCACATTAGGTTGCATGTTAGCATAATATGAATTTTTAGGTGATACTTTAATGCGCAGTAGAATAGGTGACTGCACATTAAAGCGCATGTGTAAATGTGCCCAGTAATTGCAACAAACAATGCATTTGACCTTGCCATCTCTAACAAACATAGCAGCTTGTCTGAAGCTAGAAAAGATGATAGAGAATGACAGACAGTAGTCATAGGGCGTGTCTACATGTCACCCTATGACTCTGTAGCGACATACTAGAGATGTACAACATGCTACAGCAATGTAGCTATCATGTGAGTCTACGTGTGACCAGCAGCTACTTCACTGTAGCAGTATGCTCCCCAATTTTAACGCATGCTTCAATGAAGTAGCAGATAAAACTAACCATGCACCATGCCAGAACCCTAAAACTAACAGTTCCAAAAGCAAGTACTAGAGCACAGTGCAGTAACAATGTTGCCATAGGGTGATGTGTAGACACACCCATGCTGCTGTTGTAGACTGCTAGAAAAAGAAGTGGGCAGTTCTCTGTTAGCTGTGCTTCACAACTGTCTGTGAAGTGTATAATTTTTATGTTCAGTAAAGTCTATCTTCTGAAGGTATTGTGTATGTTTCCTTTGAGGATAAGGATTGGGTGGTCAGAGATGGAATGGTGATATAGAAAAATGGTTTTCTCTGGTGACAAGGTGTTTCTGTTAATCTTTTGTTAGG